TGTACTATATCAGTACTACGTATGTGATTAGTATTACCAATAGGTGTCAGTTAATTGAATAAATTTATAATTTTGGTATTTTTTTTAACTTTTTAACACAGCTTACGTTTATATAATGTTTTTTTATATTTATAAAATATAATATAATATTAATATAACATAATTAATTATGTTAATATTATATTTTATATATAATTTGATACAATATTTTTGTAATTATATCAATATTATATTTTATATATAATTTAATATAATACTTTTATAATTATATTAATATTATATTTCATATATAATTTAATATAATATTTTTATAATTTTATTAATATTATATTTCATATATAATTTAATATAATATTTTTATAATTATAAATTTGCGTTGACACCGTTTGATAGAAATGAGATAAAAATGAAACACTCTGCATAATAAATGTCAAAGACGATCCCATTCACAATCCAATCTTAATATACTGGATCGCGAGTATTTAAATACTCTTTCTCTTTAATTTTTAAAAATTAAAATGCCTGAAAAGCCTACTCGTCATCAAATATCTTTTAATTTTTATATAATAGCCCCAGACTTGATCAATGTAATTATGATGGTACCAGTGTTAACGAAATTTCCCAAAACGTTTCGCACAACTCACGTAAAATAAAACTCATGTAAAATGAGCTGTATAAAAACTGTATATGAAATAAGATACCATCCGATTTGAAACGAAAAGGTTAAAACAACCATGTCCAATGAGTCAACTTTCTACAGCTTTTACGATTTTGTTTTCCCGAAACAGCCGCGAAATTTTTTTACGAATGCGCGGTCGCCTTTGTGTCGACAAAGTTTGCGGCCCCAGTTTCTGGGATTTCATCGTTCCTCCTCGGGAATCGACTGCTTTTTAAGGAGATTAAGTCGAAACATTTGAAATGTAAAGCATCTCGCAGATAAATCAAACGCGCCGTGCTTACTTACATCTGGCAAGCATTTCATTTTAATTCCACGCCGAGAGTCGTTATACAGATGCAAAGTGGTGAGGTATTACGAGTTTCGTGTCATAAATCTTGCATGCTCCGTTTGCAAGGGAACTCCTCCTTCCTCTTTTACGAAATGTAAAAAAATATTTCACGGACAGCGGGACCTCGAATCTTGTGTCGTGTATTTCATACGACAGAGATCGAAATTTGATTAGTCGAATCGCAGAATCGGCCCTTCAAAATTTTTTCGATAGAACGCTGGATAAGTGATATTTGTCTATTCACAAATAAGTTTTTCTCAATTGTCGCGCAAATTTTTCGCAATGAAAATATAGATAGATGAGACATGTGTAATACAAAATAGAAAATATAAAGAGAAATAAAATAAACAATACGAATATAGATAAACGGGAGAAAATTCACTTCAATTTAAACAAAAGTTGATTTATAGATAAGTAAATAGGTAGTGATTAATATTCAGACATTAACTATTGAAATTGTCGCAATTTTGTCAAAGTCGAATATTAAACTTGATAAACTTAAGCACAATGATAAGTTTAATTTAGAAAAATTATAAATGAGCAATTATAAACTTAATTTATTATATATATTATATAATAATAAATAATATATAATATATTATAATATATATAATATAATATTATATAATATATATAATATAATAATATTATATATAATATATTATATAGTAATAAATAATATTATATAATATATATAATATAACAATATTATATAATATATATAATATAATATATAATATAACAATATTATATAATATATATATAATATAATAATATTATATAATAAAGATTATAAATAAGCAATAATAAACTTAATTTATTACAAATAAGCTTACTTTATAGCTTGAAGGCATCGAATAGAAAAAGTGACGATTTCGTCGCCTGAGCCTAATGTTCAAAGTTCAATAAAATAGTAGGAGAAAAAAATCGTATATCAAATTTTCAAAGATCGTCGCAAAGGGGAGGATCGTCCGCTCCTTCCCAAATCCATTGTAGATTCAGTCGTGGAAGAAATGTCTTTTTTTAATCTTCTCGAGAAGATACTACGTGATTTAAAAACATCTTGAAATTAAAATGAATAATACATTTTGAAAATGGAGGCTTCGAAGCGTGTTCGAAACGAGCCTCGTTGCTGCGCGATCCTTCTTCTCCAGCTTGAATATTTAGTGCCCGAATAAGCGTCACTGTTACTCCATTACGGAAATGAATTCACTCGATTCGAGTGATTCGAGTAGTCGTTCGAAGAGAAAGTTTGAAAATGAGAGAACACCATTGAGGGTGTATTATTATTTTCTTTTTCCTTTTTTCTTCTTTTTTTTTTAACACTCCCTATCTCTGTTCTTCTTTTATTTGTAGTAGGAAGCGAGTGAAAATTAGCAAAGATGTACGGCCTAATTCTGGAAAACATGTCCGAGTATATACGACAGGTATACGGGGAAGATCGATGGGAAGAGATTCGACGACAAGCGTCTGTAGATCAACCTAGTTTCAGTGTTCATCAGGTTTACCCTGAGAACCTCATACCAAGGCTAGCAAAGAAGGCTATTCAGGTAGGTGTTGTCACTGTAATATCACATATTGAATACCGTCTGTTAAATATTATAGTCATTGTATTTTTAATGTAACTTTCCAAATTAGTAAGATTAAAGATTAAAGATTAAAGAAAATTATTCAAATTGTCGAGTCCGTTTGTTATTATTGATTTGAGTATCTTGTTTGTTAATTGTCTCTATTTTTCATGTGTGTGTGTATATATATACATATATATATGATCAAATTATATATAAATTATATATAAATTAAATATTATACATATATTAAATTATATATAATTAAATATAATATTATATATATAATTATATATAATTAAATATAATATTGTATATATTAAGTTATATATAATTAAATCTAATATTATATATGTAATTATATATAATTAAATATAATACTATATATATTAAATTATACATAATTAAATATAATATTATATATACAATTATATATATTAAATTGTATATAATTAAATATATTATATATATAATTATATATAATTGAATATAATATTATATATATACAATTATATACATTGAATTATACATAATTAAATATAATATTATATATACAATTATATATATTGAATTGTATATAATTAAATATAATATTATATATATTAAATTATACATAATTAAATATAATATTACATATACAATTGTATATATTAAATATAATATTATATATACAATTATATGTATTAAATTTTATATAATTAAATATAATATTATATATAAATTGTATATATGTATATATATATATATATATATATATATATATATATATATATATAATCAAATTCTGTCTTTAAAAAAAATATATATACTGTACAAGTACACCCAGATATACTTCTAATCGTGCGATAATTTTGTCCTACCGAGTGATTCTCAACGCACAATGTTGCGAACGCTATGAATCAGAAAATCAATGATTTAGATCGTAATTTGAAAGTAATTACTCTGCATTGTTTCTTAATAATCATCTCTGTGTACTGATATTCGTCTAACTCAATCGAATACATTTCTCACCCACACCACAGGTACTTGGCATAACGGAAAAAGAATTTTTCGATCAGATGGGTGTACACTTCGTAGGATTCGTTGGCCAGTACGGTTATGATCGTGTGCTTTCAGTACTTGGACGTCACGTAAGAGATTTCCTTAACGGGTTGGACAATTTGCACGAATATCTGAAATTCTCCTACCCTAGGATGAGAGCGCCCTCGTTTATTTGCGAAAACGAGACGCGGCAAGGTGAATGAATTTTCAATGCAAGTCACTTTTCCATTTTCCTTTGATTTCTCTTTTCTCTCTCTCTCTCTCTCTCTCTCTCTCTCTCTCTTTGTGGAGAGCGAGAGTGTTCGATATATATTCTATATACTTAAATATTCTATATACCTGAGGAAATATTTCCTATACATGTATACGAGATATATTCAAACACGATCAATACAGACATTTGTGGAAATATTTTTTATACATTGAATATTAAATATTTATAAATACTTTTTATACGTTGAATATTAAATATTTATAAATATTTTTTATACGTTGAATATTAAATATTTGTAAATATTTTTTATATATTGAATATTAAGTATTTATAAATATTTTGTTATATATTGAATATTAAGTATTTATAAATATTTTCTATACATTGAATATTAAGTATTTATAAATATTTTTTATATATTAAATATTAAGTATTTATAAATATTTTTTATATATTGAATATTAAGTATTTATAAATATTTTTTATATATTGAATATTAAGTATTTATAAATATTTTTTATATATTTTAAATATTTATTTATATATATATTTAAAAATATGTATATTTATAAATATATATTTAAAAATATGTATATTTATAAATATATATTTAAAAATATGTATATTTATAAATTTACTTATAAATATTTATATAAATATAAGTATTTAATATTAAATATAAATATTTAATATTTAATCAAATATAAAATATAAAAAATAAAAATATACAACAAAAAAAAAAGAAACTGAAGCAAAATTGGTTTATCATCCAAAAAGTGCTCCTTTCATCGTTCCCTGCCATCCTCGTTGATCCATGATTACGAAGTAATCATACACGCTCTAGTATAAAAGAAATAAATTCTTCGCGGGTCTAAATTCACCTAAACTCCCCTTCATTCATTTCAGGCCTGACCCTCCATTACAGGAGCAAACGGCGCGGATTCGTTTATTACACGATGGGCCAGATAAGAGAGGTGGCTCGTCACTTTTATCACAAGGAATTACAGATCGAGCTGGTGCGCGAGGAGGTCCTTTTCGACACCGTGCACGTCACTTTTCAGCTCACCTTTGATAACAGGGCGTTTACGCAAGCCTCGCTGGCCATGACACGCGAGGAGAAACACTTGCCGATAGGAGCGTCTGTCCTGTTCGAAATATTTCCATTTTGCATCGTTTTCGGGTGTGTCTACAGAGCAAGCCTACATTTTTTCTTTACCGACAGACATGTCTTTTTTTCTCTTTTTCTCCATCTGTCAGACATATCAAAAGTATATCTGAAAATATCCAACGACAGTGGAGATCTTGTCGAGATGTGAAACACCATCTCGTGCACTCGTTCGAGATACACACGAGAAAATGGAATTGGCAATTTCGATTCGATTCGCGATATTTGTGGAAGGTCTCGAGGGGCCTTACATATCTGTTTCAATGAAATATTTTCATATTCGAGGGACAAGGGCTGGCGAATTTTGCCTGAATGAAAAATGAACGGGCAGAGAAATGATAATGAACTTTTGACATTGTATACTTTTTGTTTTTCTTCTGTTTTTCCAGCTATTGCGATGCATCTTCGTCAACGCTGTGTGTTGGCTTTTGCGAGTCGTCCCTTCGTCTCGAAATCATTTCACCATTCGAGTGTTCGTTTAATTTTGAAAACAGGTGAGAATCGCTAGGTGCGATGAGGAAATGGTTTCGAGAAAAGGACGTTGACTTTCTCACGGATCGGGTTGCAAAAATCTTCAGAGTCTTTTGCAGAAATTTATTTACACGTGGAAAAATAACCACGTGACTTCAAAGGTAAAGGACAAAAGTTCATTATCGTTTCACAAAGAAGTGTCTCTCCGTTTATTTTTCATTTGCAAAATATACTTAAAGAAACGAGACGCTCGTCTAAAATTATTTCGCGTGAAATTTCACGACCTGAAGAATCTACATGTTCCAAAATGTAACAAAAATGACAATCAATTATACACGACAAAGTATTGACTTATTCTCAATGCATTAAGATTAAAGTTTTCGTTTGTCAAAGCTCGTAATTAAGATTCTTCCTTAATTTTCAGATCGGACATGATTGTAAGGAGTATCGGTAATTCTCTGATGGTAATACTGCCCGATCTAGTTGGCAAAAAGATAACGCACTTTTTCGATCTTGTCAGGCCGCTCATTGCGTTCAAATTTCATTCGGTGCGTATATTTTGAATATAAAAATACAAAAAGTGCCGTGAAATATAAAAAGTTTATGAAACTCGCATTTTTAAACTTTATGATTCGTTAACTTTTTTATTACGATTTTATTTCCGTATAATTTAAATAATTATTATTTAATATTATCATAATAATTATTATATTATATTAAATAATTATTAATTATTAGTAATATTATAACATAATATATATACATTATATTTATATATTAATATTTATCAAATAATAATTAATTATTAGTAATATTTATATTATAATATAATATATATTATATTTGTATATTAAGATTTATTAAATAACTTAATTATTAATATTATAATATAATATATATTGTATTTGTATATTAATATTTATTAAATAACTTAAT